TTCTACCCATCTGGAAAAATCTGCTGGTCCGGAAGGAAGGGTGTGCTGCAGGTGCTATTAGCTAAGAACTATTGGTTAGTGGAGCCCAGGGCAAGGACCTTTTCTGCCACAGCAATAATGGAGAACACTATTCCAGCTTGGCCTTGCAGATAGTTATTTTATGATGCTCAGCTGCTATGTGTTTTTATTTCACATTGTGTATTTTATTTGTTTTTATTTATTGCCCAGAATGTGCTATATAAATCAAACAAATATACACTATAAAGACAGGCAACAAATTGACACATATTTTCTTATTTATTAAATTTATTTAACTGAACTCTTTTATTGGCATTTTTGATGTTGTATGGGTATGCATGTTTCATTGGCTTTGTTGTTTTAGTAAATTGGTGGCTTATAATTAACATTTTATTTTGTAATATTTGTGTTCTTACAGTACAAAACAGTATATTTACTGATTTTCTTTAATATTTTGATATTTTAATGGGAAATTATATATTAACAATTTGAAGCCAGAAGAGTCCAAAGGTAGACTATTTCTTGTATTGTTTAGCAATATCTGACAAAAACATTTCACATTACAACAGTGGTGAAAAATTTAATTATTATAATCCTTGACCAAGATATGAAATAATTTTAAAAATTTAAAATAGATGCTATCAAAGAATATAGTGAAGATTCTGGCCTCAGCCCTTGCCCAGAGATGTTTAATAATAATTGATGTTGCCAAATATCTTGACAAATGTACTTGAACTCCAAAATAATTAGAGTCCTAGCCAGATTAATCTGGAATATGACTAGCAATTCCATATCATCATATTGGAATAATCAATTTAACATTCTTCATTAAATTATGTCATAATACAGCTGGTACATGCCTCTGTCTCTATATTTCAGGTCCATGAGGGTCCCATGTAAAATTGCAGCTGTCAGTTTAGCAACAGGTTTCAGTTTTCCTAATATGAAGATACACGTGTGTGTGTGTGTGTGTGTGTGTGTGTGTGTGTGTGTGTGATTATATAATTGTTCATGCATATTTATGCATCGCAGGACAATCAGCATTTCTAACCATCTTGGCCAGCTGTTTGAGATCAGAATGAGTCTGAAGTACCTTTTTAGGGCAAAGATCTAAACATGAAGCAAATGATTTAGATTAGCAAATGACTAAATGATTTAGCCATGGCCACACTTTAAATTTTATTATTAGCTCCCCCATTGCAGAATTAAGACTAGTATAATATTTCCTCTCTTTCCCTATCCTATTTTTTTCTGCATATTTGTAATCAAATGGCAGTTACTGTGATTTTGTTGAATAAGAATCTGTCTGTATATTGGCGTCTGAATGAAACAAATTTACTTATGCAACTTGGAAAATATAAGAAAACAAAAATAGTGTGTTTGTATTTGCATAGTTGATTGAAACATTCAAGAATCAGTAACAGCCAAACTGTCCCTGAATATCTGCACAAATATCCTGTTATTCACTTTGAGCAAAGTCATAATAAGCCTATTATCTATTATCCATAGATTATGTGTTGCTGTTAATTATATAAATCTAACTGAAAATTGATGGTATTACTTTCTGCCATTCAGAGGCAGAAAACACATAGAAACTTTTGTGAAGTCAAACTGAAGACACATTAAGAATGAATCACAAAACTTCTGGAAACTCCAAACCCTACCATGTACATGACATTGTCTGGCCCACCCTCAAATATAAGATTCCTAGCCAGCATTATTACCCTGTAATATAAAAGTTTGTACAATAGTTGCAGTATTCCTTTTCATTAGAATTTATTAAATATTGTTAAACGTGCCAAATTTAAGAAAAGATCCAGTGTAAATAGTCCTCGATTTATAACATTTTTTTAAAAGTTACAACAGCACTAAAAAGTGGCTTATGACCGTTTTTCACATTTATGACCATTTACAGCATCCCCATGGACATGATCAAAATTCAGATGCTTGGCAATTGACTCATATTTATTTATGACAGTTGCAGTCTCCTGGGGTCATGTGATCATCTTTTGTAACCTTCTGACAAGCAAAATCAATGGAGAAACCAGATTTATTTAACAACCGGGTTACTAACAACTGCAGTGATTCACTTAACAACTGAGGCAAGAAAGGTCGTAAAATGGGACAAAACCCACTTAACAGACATCTTATTAGCAACATAAATTTTGGGTTCAATTGTGGTTGTAAGTCACAAAATAACATGAGATTGTGAACAAGATTTGTTCCTAAGTCTGTCTTTAAGTCAAATTTGTAGGTAAGTCAGAACAGTACATATAGTTCCTAATTACCATCAGTTAGCCAAATGTTTCTCTTAATGCATAGTATACAAAATGGCATGTGGCATTCTCCTTCTGCAGGCCAATGAACAACTGAAGCTTCACACTGTTATCATGAATGTCATAAAGCAATGTGTGTGTGTGTGTGTGTATTCATTACTATGAATCTTTATACATAATTCAAATTTTTAATATAATAGGCTGAATAACAGTCTATTCATAAGTACAAGTTGTTAAATCAGAAGTTTTTAACCCAGGGACTGCCTCTAAAACCAACAAATATAGTAAAAAAAAACCAACAAATACATGATGAAACCAAGGCATTTTCTTACTTAACTCTGAATTTGATAAGCATTTTTCTGTGTCTAGGTATAACTCCTTTCTAGATAGACCAATTTAAAAATCTTTAGTGTTTATATGATCTTAAAGCAAGTATGTCGGTATTTTTGTCTAAAATATTGTACTTTGAATACGTATAGATTATCATTTGGTATTTGGTTAAAGACCATGAGCAGCATTATAATTTGAGTTTAGGAAACATGAGTAAACTATCTATTATGCATCATCTTAGTGTGGCACAAAAAATGTACAGTTTTCAGAATTTGACTTCTTGTTTGACTTTAATTCAGAGTATTTAATTAGATAATTTATTTCAATGAAAAAGTTGTTGCTTTTTCTTAAACACTTTTCGGTCTCATCTGCAGCTTGATACCCTCACCTGAAGCCACAAGGAGATTCCTTCTGTATCCTCTTCAAAGGGTTGTCCAATTCTTTCTCACCGTGAAGAACTGGGGGAAAAAAGCCCTTAATTTTTTTCCATTATGATGCATTTTGTATACTCTGAATAGTACAATCATATATAACAGGACCAGATTACATATTACAGTAATTTTATGGAAGCCAGAAATCTTACAGTAACCATGCTGCGTCTGTTATTATTTATTGGCAGATATATTTTTAGTGAGAATATTGGAAAAGGTATCCCCTTGCACATGAGTGAAGTTGTCTAGCATCTTTGTGGATTGTGTAGATTTGGCCTCAGCATCTATTTTTTCATGGCAGCTATTAACTAGAAGTAAACCATTTAGGTCTGGTGATTGTTATAAAACAAACAACTATGTACACTGTGATTCAATAATAAACACAATTCAATCTGGTTTCACTGTGCATCCTCCAGACTTACTCAGCTATAATAACTAGCATTTTCAGCAAGCATGAGGTTTTATTAGTTGGCTAGGGGGCATCAAGTTCATTCATTAATTAAATTTATATAACTGCCCATCTCATATTTGTGCTTCGGTAGGTGCACACAATTAAAAGAAAAAAATAATTAAAAACAAAAACATTAAAATTAGTTAAAAGTTTAAACTTTAATAAGAATAACACATATTGTGATTCTGAGTCATTTATGAACTACCCTCTTCCATTGGATCCCCAAGTCCAATGGCAGAACCAGGTTTTAATGATCTTCTAGAAAGCCCACAGGGTTGGAGTAATCACCTTTGGAGGAGGTACATGGTGAGTTCTTCTCATTCCTAACTAACACTGATTGGAACCAGTTTGGAACCAGTTTGTAAGGAAGTAAGAGAACCAGCACAATTCAGTGTAAGCAATCCCAACCCCTGAAGCATGTCCAGAAGGATACCATGGTTGATGGTTTTAAAAGCCACTAAATAGTCAAGTAGATCAAAGGTAGATCTACTAACTCCATCCCATTCCAACAAGAGGTTAGCCAAAAGGACAACCAGTGCCATCTCCATCTCATACTCTGGTCTGAAATCCAACTAAAAGAGGTCAAGATAATCTGCTTTATCCAAAATCCTATGAAGCTGTTGCACAATCATTTTCTCAACAACCTTCCCCCAAAAAGGAAGATTGGATAGTATATAAAAGTTGTTTAGTATGTTGGGATCTAGTGATGGCTTCTTGAGAACTGAGTAAACCAATTTCTTCTCAGCATAAAGGTTTACATTGCAGTGAGCATCCCACTACAGACAGTCTTCAGTTAGCAACCAAAGTTGGAATGTTGCTTAATGACACAGTTGTAATGCAAAAAATCATGCAGTTTCAGTCTCAGTTATTAAGTGAATTGTGCAGTCGTTAAGCATGTTATCACATGATTGCAACTTGCGACTTATTGCCAGCTCCCCCCTCATTTTTTTTTTGTTGAAGCAATGAATGTTGCAAAGGCCAGTCCTGTGATCATGTGAAGATTGTAATTGCATGCTGGTTGTCAAGCACCAATTCCCAATTATTGTGACTTTGGGGACACTGCTTTGAGGACCAATCATAAGTCTCCCTCTTCAGGTTGGTTGCTGAATGAGTGATTGCTAAGCCAGGACTATCTGTATTTATTTATTAGCAACAACATCCATGATTGCAAAGGTTTGAATTTGAGAACTTCTATATTACAAGTCATTAAGCTAAATCTCAACCCCCCCACCCCGCATATTCACTAATAAGTGTCAAACAACATAACTCATTTATTTCATGTAAAATAATTTATTTTGCCTATGAAATGAAGGAAAACTCTGATGCTCATACAGTCTTCTTTTCCCTTGACTCATTATCCTCAGTCCTTGGAACAGAGCTAACTATACATTTGTTCTTAACTAAATGTATTGTTGTTTCTGTTTCTTCATATTCCATCTGCCAGGCCTTCTGCCACTCAGTTACCTTGGATTTTGTTTCTTATTTGTTTTGCAGGTCCACACATTTCGGGGTCCACACTGGTGCGAATACTGTGCCAATTTCATGTGGGGACTCATTGCTCAGGGTGTAAGATGTTCAGGTAATTATAAATATAAATACTGTGTTGCTTTATTTAAAAAATAAATGTAAATCTCTTTTAAATGACCATTAAGAGTAGCCAACCTATAAGAGCTACTTTGATCTCATGGTTAAGGCACCAGGCTAGAAACCAGGAGATTGTCAGTTCTAGTCCCACCGTACTCATGAACGTTAGCTGGGTGACTTTGGGCCAGTTACTCTCTCTCATCCTAGTCCAATCCACCTCACAGGGTGGTTCTTGTGGGGAAAATAAGAGGAGGAAGGTGTGTTGGATATGTTTATTATCTTGAGTTCTCTGTTAAAAGAGCAAATTTGGAACATTAGTCTCAGCTTGAATGTTTATGAAAAGTTTAAAAAATTATAACAATATAGTTGCAGATCCAACCTGAATAAAGTAAGAATGATAGCTGCATTGAAACAGATATCTCCTTTCATGCAGTCAGCTGCCTAACTGAATTTCTCTCTCTTTTTTCCTCTCTTCCTTTTATGAAATAGAAGATTTTTAATGATAAAGGTAGCAATATTATTTATTAAGGGACTTGTTAAAATATATCAGAAATTTGCTGAAAATGCATTTGGATTATTTATCCTGAAATTTCTGAAGTACAATAAAAGTAGCAGTGCTAACTTGGCTTCTAAGTGCTGGCACACTATTTGAGATACTTTCACATTGGTATTGGTTTGCATTGAAATACCTACAAATATCTAGAATGCATCAATAGTAGTTTTTCTCATGTCTTGAACTTTTAACAAAGTTCTTATGTGAAAAGAATTAAAAGATAAAGCTTTATATGCCATGTAGCTAAATGAGAACATCTACTGAATGCTGTATATTAACTGAAACTTAATAAGTCCCAGTTCCAAAGGGAAAATATTTCAGAGTATAGCTAGCAAGAGCATTCTTCTCCCAAAGATAAAAGTAAAGCTCTCTAAAACAGAAGTAGTAACCTTATGGGTATGTATTTATAACCATACAGATGGTCCTCCACTTATGACCACACTTGACATAAGGTAGTTGTTAAGTGAGTTGCACTTGATTTAACTTTATTGTTAAGTGAATCCAGCTTCCTTCATTGACTTTTCTGGTCAGAAGCCAGCTGAAAAGGTTGCAAATGACAATCACATGACCTGGGACACTGCAGTCAAGTACCCATTTGGAGCACAAGGACCAGTCATAAGTCACCAGTTTCAGTGCTGTTATAATTTTGAATGATTGTATCTAATAGTACTACCTGTACTGTTTTCTTGCAAAAATTCAGAAGTAGTTGCCATTTCCTTATCCCTGATGGTTTTGGAATTCCTAGTCTAATCTACAGAGCTGGATTATTAGATGCACCATTCAAACGTGAACCAGGTCCAAAAAACCAATAAACCAAAATTTATTGAGATCAAATGAGATAATAAAGAGTTGCCATTTCCTGTGATATTCTCACTAAAACAAGGTGGCTCATACTCAGATTTGGCCAAGTTGCTGTAGTCATAGAGGTCTTTCCTGACAGTAAAAATGTAACCATGATTATGGCATAACATATTGCTTCCTTTTCTTATCTTACAAAATTAGCTAACCAAAGGGATCTCATCTTATCTAAAATAACATGCTTGTAAAAGAGAGGGAGGGAGGAAGAGAGAAAGAGAGAGACAGAGAGAGAGACTGTCCTTACACAATAGTGCCAATATTTACAGCTGCAGATGTGCTAGAGTTACAAATTCCAAAATTCATAATTAATATATCTGTATCCCAACATATCCAGATGTCATCAGTTGAAATATCAGTGTAGTGGAGAAGTGAAATATGATCTTAGGATTTGAGAAATTGTTTTCTTTGTATGAAATATAGAAATAAAAGTGTTAAATATATTATGTACTGCTGGTTTGTTATTTAAAAAGTGTAACCTAAGAAATAGTATGTTTCTTTCATACAAAACTTAATGTCCTGATTAATTAATTCCTAATATTAACTCTAAGAAAGCAATATTAACTCTAAGAAATTTCTAGTGAGAATTCTTACACTGGCTGGGTTTGTTTAGAGTTAACATAATAACAATACATTAGATGGTATTTGACTTAAAGAATATAAAGTTTACTTATGGATGTAAAACCAATATTTTTTTAAGTTCAAGTGAATGGACCATGTTTCATGTGCTCATAAAAACACTGTATTATTATTACGGTTAATTACATTGTCAGCCAGATGTTTAGACTGAATTTGGCATTTTTAACATATCTAGTCCTTCACAAGGACCTGGGAGAGAAAATGTTGTTTGATTGTGTTAAAGGTTTTGTTGCAGTATGTAAGCTGTTCCAAGAAAAGCTGCCTTTCACAATTATTTTGAACTATTAGTATCTGGGACCTAGATTTTCTGAGCTGAAGGTCACACTCCTAAAGGAGTGGAACAAAAATTTGATTTCATGTTATTATTATTTTAAATAATTAAACCTAGTTAATATGATTATTCTCCATCAATCAATAAACAATTGCAGTGAGATCTCTGAAGATATCCCAAGATTTTCAGATGGGAATTCCACTTATTGATATAACAGACCCTTTCCTGCAAATATACAGGAGGGATTTTATCCAACCTCTCATTAAGGAAATTAAATACAATCTTACAAATTAATCTTACAAAATTAAGACTCATTGAAATCAGTGAGCTTATTTCTACATACAAAGGCATAAGTGCATGCTTAAGTTGTTCCCGCCCAATAGTTTTATAGGCAAGGAGTGAATGATCCCAAATTACAAATAGATCTAATGTAAGGGAACTTATTAAGCATATTTACACATTTGACTTACATGTATTGATTATCTCTTTATTGTGCATAGGTACACAAATAAGAACCGCAAACATCTCCCCATAATATTTTTCCTATGGAAAGATCTCCATTTTTTTTTAGCACCCCAACATTTAGAGAAGAGTGAGGGGAAGGAGAATCTCCCTTCTTCCTTGCTCCTGGAAAAGCTCCATAATTGCTTTTAATAAAGAAAAAAAATGGAGAATCACAATATTGCTGTAAACATAATGTTTCGTTTTTGCCCTCCGGATAAGATCAACTCCCTTTGCTAACACGACTGCTTAGTACTACTGCTTTTTTTTTTAGCTGTAAAAGCAATTTTTAGCTCAGATGTACATTTTTTTATGATTCTTCAGGCCTCCATGGTAGCTCCAAAGATATTTTTTTTTAAAAAACAACTCTGCTTTTGCAGCTGCCTTATAAATCCAGTGACAGCTGAAAACCTAAGAGCCCTCCTAGAGTTAGGATCTTCTCTTTCATGAAGAATGCAACAAAGCTAAATTGAATTTCAGTCTTCAAGTCTAGCGTCCTATTTACTGACTGCACATGTGTTTTGTCTAAATTTAATTTCAACTAATAACTTTAAAATATCGTATGGCTTCCATAATGTATTTTTGAATGTGTTCACTAATTTTATAGTAAGGGTGATATTACTCCATTGAATGCAATTCTGGTGTTATATGCATCCAGCTATGATCAATTTCTTATCAGATTATCAGAATTAGTCTGTTCTATCCATTTTGTCCTTTTTTTCTACATAGGTACTTTGCATAATTTCTTCATTTTCAATAACTTAATATGTGCAAGTTCCTACATTAAAATCTTTGTTTCATATCTCCTGCAAACACTTTTTCCATTTGAGGTAGGGAGAAGGTAATCATCAAGGAAAGAGATTCTTCATAGATAATAGTCTAGTTGTGGAATGGTCTTTACAACAATTATATATAATTGTTGAAGTGATAAGAATTTTAAGGTGTGGATTATTTTGTGTTATTGTGCTTTTATGCTGCTTTCTAAAATTTGGAATGTTTACATTTTAATTAATTTTAACAATTTTATATTATTTTGGTGTAAATTGTCATGAAGACTTTTGTTGAATAAATGTAGCAATTAATTTAGTTTTCAGGCAATGACGCCTAACATTTTTCCAAGACTAGGAACATGGTGACCATATATGTCTCAGCTGTAGATTATGAGATTTAATTAAGAGCTCAAGGCAGTGTACCATCTGCTGTTTGTTTTGGTAATAGCCAGGTCTGATACCTTTGTTTTTGCATAAGAACCAGCCTTCATAACAGTATAGTTGTTCTATGTATTAGCTTAATCTATAGGATAGATATGTTAAAAATAATTTTGGAGATACAAACGTATATCATGTATATCAATTTATATCTATATTTCACTCTTGTCAACTATTTATTTTTGATTGATTTATATAGCCACTTATCTCAAACTTGTAACTTTATGCAGTTCACAATACCAAAAAAAAAAATCACCTTAATATTTTTCTACAGACTGTGGATTAAATGTACACAAGCAATGTTCAAAGTATGTTCCCAATGATTGCCAACCAGACCTTAAGAGAATCAAGCGGGTCTATTGCTGTGATCTCACTACACTAGTGAAGGCCCACAATGCACAGAGACCCATGGTGGTGGACATATGCATACGTGAAATTGAATCAAGAGGTATGGTTTTTTTATGTTTTGATTAAACAAAATTCTAATTTCTGAATTATTGAAATTCTGACATTCCATATTTTGATAATCATTATCAGATACTAAAGTCTGAATAATATTCTGTTAAGTATTTCAAAAATGGTTAAAATAATATATCGGGGTTATTTGTATTTTGTTTCGTTTTCTAATAAACTTTTGTTAAGTGAAAGATTAAGAACCCGTATTTTAAATTTCAACCAGTTGAGTAAGTTGAAGTTAGATTTAGGTGTAAAGATAGATCTATGGGTGATTTCCAGTAGGTCTGAATGTGTTCCTACTTTTTAATGCTCCAAGTGTAATAATTAGAGCTTAAGAAAGCTTTTACTTTTTTAATCTGACCTCTCCATATAGAACTGACAAGAATGCTTAGGAAAAAACTAGGAGGGAATTTTAATATAAAAGAATTTCTAAAATTGATTTTGGCATTAATCAGAAATTCAAAACTGATGAGCAACCTTTTGTTTTTAGTTCTTCTTCTTTTTAGACCTTCCTGATCTCATTCTCTCCATGTGTGTTGCTATTGTAGCACCCAGCTGAGATAGTTAGCATTTTGACTGGGAATTCCAAAATTCTTACAGCCATGGTGCATTTGGAGGGAGCCAGCTTTGGAAAGTCTGCTTGAAATTATGTCTTTTGACTTGAATCAGACTTGTGTAATTGGTTCTAGCTCAGAGACATCACAGCTTTAGTTAGATGCATAGATTTTGAAAGCTTGAAATATTTTTCCCCTATCTTAGAAAATCTAAAAAACATTTTTGCTCCTTTTTCATTTGCTAATGTAGATTATTTAATTATTTAAATAATTTTGCGCACTTAAACTTTTTTTCTTTCCAATAATTTATTCTGAAAAGTTCTATTAAATTTAAAATTATTGAAAGATAATTGAAAATCAAAGGAATTACATAACTTAATATTAAAGTTATAATTAAGAGTGTTTAGACTATAATATAAGATAAATATATAATTCACTTAAAATGCCTTTTCTTATAAGCCAAACCAAGAACAGAAATCTGAATCATTACAAACATATTAACAGTTCCTGAAATCTTTTGCTTTGCAGATAAGTCTGTGATTTTTATTTTTATTTAATTACAATGTGAGCATGGAAAGCTATTTTAGATTGGGATGACATTTCATAGGGATGATTAATTTTCCTCTGTGGTATAGTAATTCTTCAGAAGTAATTAGTAGTTATAGTAATTCTTCAGAAGTAATTAGTAGTTATTTAGTAATTTTTCCTCTAAAGTGGACACTATATGAGACTCTCCTTGAGGATGACGTAGAAGCTTGATCTCAAGCAAAATATGGCAGTTAAGTTGCTGTCAAAAGCAGTTTGCTGCTGCTTTTACAAAACCTATACTGACTGCCAATATGTTTCTGGTCCAGATTGAGTATGCTAAGTGGCTTGTGGTCTTCTAAGAGATTTCAGGGTTTAAAGGATTCTATAAAAGAAGGATGAACAGAAAAATTCCCTTTGTAATTGTTTTTAGAATGAAGCCATCAGTTTCAAAGGACCATCCTTATTCAATTTAAATTGACTTCCAATCACTACCATGCAACAATATTTATAGTGACTGAGCCCATTTTACATGCAACAATGCTACACTCGTCTCTGGTCTGTCCTTTAGAAAGGATTACAAAACTAAGAAGACCTTTGCTTAGTGCAATTTCTAGACAAAGAAAGCAACAATTGTCAATTAACTATGTCTAACTTAGAAGAACATAATTGTGTAGTTTATTAAATAAAATGAAAGTTTTTAAATTAAATGAAGGCCACAGTCTCCACTTGAAATGAAAGCTCTGCCAAAAGATAGTTGCAAATTCACCTGAGAAAATATGGAAGAAAAAGTACGTAGAATGAAAATGTATCTGTAGACAGCAATTGATAGAATTTTGGTTTGCAGGTTTGAAGTCAGAAGGCATTTACAGAGTCTCAGGGTTCACTGAACATATTGAAGATGTCAAAATGGCCTTTGATCGAGGTATCAATTTATTTTAGATTTGAAAAAATGATATCTACTCTGTTTTATTGCACTCCCTCATAGGTTTGGTTTTGTCATCAAATATGTAATTTTTACTTCTCTCGAAGGTTGTATATGATGATTCTTTTATTTTCAACTTATATTTACCACATGCATCCTACTTGGAGGATGCATAGTATCCCAAAAGAAAGAAAGATCCTGCTCTTCACTGTGAAGCTTTCTGTAGCAGGATCCTGAATTACTAGACTAAACTAAAGTGCATTTTTTACAGTAGTAGATATTCCACTGGGACCCTCATTTGTGCCTACAGCCTTGCTCATATGATGCTTTGCTGTGGACAAGAATGAATCTTTTTACATTCTATCACACTTTAATTCCTTCTTCCTGGAAGTGCTCTATCATGTGCTATTTCTGCGCTTTCTATAAAACAAGGATAAATTATAAGGATAAATAATGTTCTGATTTTTAAAAAATCAAGACTTTTGATTTAGTACTATTGATTCCCCTAACATTTAGTAAGAATGCAAGGATTGTTTATTCTTCCACTGAATGAAAATTAATGTTATACAGCAACAGTTGCTCACTGAATTGCTGAATTGTTGTTCAGTTCAGTTTCTGCCAGCATATAAAACCCTTATTGTGCAGCTTGTTCATAGTGGCCTCATTGTGGTTACTAATTTCTGAGCTTTTGTTTGTTTCTTTGTCCTGCTTCACATTAAATATTTCATATGTAATGTTGGCTTATTACTGAGAGAGAATTGCACAATTATATTTCCTACCTTTATGGATGTCTCTATTCATCTTTGTCTTGTGAATATTTCAGCAACACAATCTATCCTAGAGATAAGAATGAGCAGAAATCACCTGGTTCATACCATGCATGACATGTCTTTTTCGGTTGACTGAAAATGGCACAGTGCAATGATTTATAACAAGTCATACATGTACCACAGATAGGACTTACAAACAAACAGTCTGAGTACTTCTCTGAAAATGTAAGGCTTTGAATACTGTATATAGTAAATATAATAATAGAATGCCTATTTATAGTTAATGTCTTTCTTCAAAAGACCGGCCTTTTGGTTTTGGTAATGCTGGAATCTATATTCTTTTAAAAAAATGATTAATGGGACTTAAAATAAAAAAAAAATAGAGAATCAGTGCTATAGTTAACATTAGAGACTAGCTTATACATGCAATTGTTCAATATATAGGATAATGTCCATTTTATTATTATTTATTTATTTATATTCCGCCTTTATTATTTTGATAAGTAAGTCAAGGTGGCGAACATCCTTTCTCCTATTTTCACCATAACAACAACCTGGTGAGATCATTTAGGCCAGTGGTGGCGAACCTATGGCACGGGTGCCAGAGGCGGCACTCAGAGCCCTCTCTGTGGGCACGTACGCCATTGCCCCAGTCCTAGACCTTCAGCTGGGTTTTATAAAACCTTTTTACTTTAGGCCTCCGCCACCGTGTGCAAAAAAAAAAAAAGGTTCAATCAGTCAATTTCAACTTCTCACAGGGAAAAAAAGATCTTGCAAAGTTGGAATTGATTGATTGAACTTTTTAGTCTCACCCAGTCTGCCATTACCACTGCAGCCATGCCCACCCAATGGGCCACGCCCACCCAATGGGCCACACCCACCCAATGGGCCACACCCACCTGGCACTCGACGATGCATAAGTGGGTTTGGGGTTGCAGCTTGGGCACTCAGTCTCTACAAGGTTCGCCATCACAGATTTAGGCTGATAGAGTGACTGGTCCAAAGTCACCCAGTCGGCTTTCATGGCTAAGGCAGAACTAGATCTCACAGTCTCCTAGCTTCTGTATTTAATCACTAAACCAATGAATGCAACAAATTGGGCAATAATTATCCTTTACACAGCATATATTAAATTTGTACACTGCACATAAATTCAGAAATGTGTGTGCACTGCATTCAGTCCTTATTTCTTAGCTTACACTTCCATTCCTCAACACACTTTAATTCTGTTCTTGATTTAAAAAAAAAACATTTTCCATTCATAATAGGAAGTTGAGTTTTCCATTCATTACAAAATGAAGAAATAGTAGAGAAACATAGGATGCATGTTGCTGTAACTAATTTTTGAGCTCTTCTCTTTGCTGAATCCTGATCAATGAGTTTAAAAACTGCAGCTTTCATAACTACCACTGTTTTTTTTAAAAAAAAAACTACACTACTATTTTCCACATCCAGTTTCTCTTAGTATTATAGATGTATAAACATAAAAGAACCCAATTTTCAGAGTAATCAATTATTTTTGCATAGCTAAATGTTGTATATTCATAATTCATGAAAGGAAATTGAAGCTGATGCATTTTAGACGCAGAAGTGTCATATCCTTGTTTTCTATTTTGAAAAAAAAAACACCAAGAATATTATTTATAGGTGTTATGGATCTCATGACTCACAGCAAATATGAACAATATTTTCATCAGACTTAATTTTTTAATTGCTATAATGAAGGATATAATCTTTAATCTTTCTTCTTTTATTACTTCTTTTGCTTGAAGCAAATTACTGGCAGAGCAATATGCATCAACTTCATTTAAAGCTCTTCTGCAATATGATTTGCTTTTATCAATGTCCCTTCTACTTAGTAAGTTAGTGATTTTGATATGCAGTGAGGACTTGGATAATCGATCATTTTTGTTTGCCATCTTTTCAATAATGTAGTGGCAGCTGCAATGTTTAAAAATAATATTTTGTTTCACTTTTGTAGCAGTTTAACTCTCATTGTACTACAGAATAATAGGATTGTCCAACAACATTTTAGAATACTAATTCTACTCTGTCACAAATATGAGATAAATAGGAGGCTGAGAACAAAAGTGATAGCAAATAGGATGCTAATGTATAAATTCATTCTGCTATACCAGATAATAGGCTGCTTATTTTAAAGAATTGCTTCCCAATTCCAACACACTGAATTGGAAATAACAGAATTTAATTCAACTGTTCCAAATGAATTTGCTAATATGATAAGGTTATAGTTTGTCTTTTCCTGATGACCATTATTTTTATTGAGAGAAGTGTAGATGTATTTTTTCAGGTTTAGTGCCAAGGGTTAATCCATAAAATCAGTAAAACCAATAAAAATATAAAAATACAATCAGGTAAGCAAAGTGGGAAAGATTCAGAAGGAATTATAATTTCTGCAAATTTAATTTTTATTTTCAACAGGTTAGCTTTATATCTGTCCCAAACATTCCACTTGTATAAAGTATCACAGTATTAGCTAGTGCTAGCCAGCTAAAATGTGAGTCATTTTAGTTTAGAAACAAAGTTTAGCTATGTTTATCTATAGAGCTACAATAAACAATTAAGCTCTAATAGGTTTTAAACCAGAGCACTAAAAGGATTATTTCTTCCCATAGTGCCTTATCAGCAGTGGTGGGATTCAGATAAGTGAACAACTGGTTCTCTGTGTGGATGCCACTTCCGAAAGTCCATTCTGGGCCTGGACAACAAAAAATTAGCTGCCGGTTCTGCCGAACTGGTGTGAACTGGCTGAATCCCACCACTGCTTATCTGTCTATTGAAATTGACATAGGAAGTCCTGTCATCCGATTTCTATAACATCCTATTTCCATGAGAACTGTGTAAATCTGGCTAGAGGCTGAACAGTCTTTTCTCATCTATTTTTAATTTGTACTGTTTTTAAACATATTGTTCAGTTTATTATATCCAAACATTAACAACCTTGGGCATTTAAAAAAAAAACAGATTGGTGAAATCATAAGGAACAGATTCTCTGTTGTACTCATAATAATATTATGCATTAGATAAGCAACAGTGCTGTGACAACAGTTGTGTAAGAACGTATTTTCCTACAGTTGCACTAACAATAATATTGTATATATTTCAGGTGACATAAGGAAGGAAAAAAGAGACACTAAACTAAAATGTAGATAAACTTTTAATGATAGTTCAAAGCCATTTCAGATTCAGTTTTATAATTCCCCTCCCCCATTACCTCAAAAAGCTGTACTTTTGTTTTCCAAACATTTTACACCAAGGATATGGTGTGAGGGCTGTATGTATAGATCTACTGTATATGTTTGTGTTTGAAAAGCTGTGACAAGAAATACTTAGTTTTGTCCCCGTAAAAAATAATCTTAAAACCCATACTCATTCTTTTTCCAGATGGTGACAAAGCAGATGTCTCTGCTAATATATATCCTGACATAAATATTATTGCTGGTGCACTAAAACTGTATTTCAGAGATTTACCAATTCCTGTTATCACTTATGATACTTACTCTAAGTTCATAGAGGCAGCAAGTAAGTATTAAAACAGATTTCCTTTATTAATCACTTATTACATTCCATAATATCATAGTTCTAAAATTCTTACATATAAAATTCCAAATTAGATTTTTATTTAATGTTCACATTTATCCCTAATGAAATTTACCGTGTCCCACAGAAATCTCCAATGCTGATGAAAGACTAGAAGCTGTTCATGAAGTGTTAATGTTACTTCCTGCTGCACATTATGAGACTCTTAGATACCTGATGATTCATCTCAAAAAGTAAGCTATATTGCTTTGTTTTATGGTGTGTATGTGTGTGTGTGTGTATGTGTGTATATACAGGTACACATATAAACACAATTGAGCCAAAAATTTCTGTTGATAAGTGAATCACTGCAGTTGATAAGTTAATAACCCAATTGTTAAATGAACTTGGCTTCCCCATTCACTTTGCTTGTGAGGTCGCAGAAGTTGATCATGTGATCTTGGGACACAGCAGCAGTCATAAACATGAACCCATTGTCAAACTTCTGAATTTTGAGCACATAATCATGGGGATGCTACATCAGTTGTAACTGTGAAAAATGTTAATAAGTCACATTTTTCAGTGCCATTGTAACTTTGAACAGTCACTAAACAAACTGTTGTAAGTCCGGGACTACCTGTATGTTTGTGTGTATGTGTGTGTGTGTGTATAGAGTTAAAAAGGGAAATCAGCCTAGACTCTCTATATAGCCACAAATGGATAGAATTCAGTATCCTGTTGAATTCTGTTGCCTCTTGTCTAATGTCAAAATAATGCTAACCGTTCATTGAGTAAATTCCTGTGCATAGGCATGAGTAGTAATAACTCAGTTTAATTGGAACTTCATGTGTAATCCTGGTCATTGTTGTATCTGACAATTTGTTTGTTGTGCTCCTTGATGGAATAACTAAAATAACTAAAAAGAATAATAAATAAAAATAGGAAGCTTGGACTGGTATGCTTATATGATGTCACTGGATGTATTAGAATTTAAGAGATGGGAAGACCAAGACCATGGAGGATCTTAATGTTTGTGTTGTCTTATTACCTGAAGTAAATAAATACAAAGAATTGTGAAAGAGCAAAATAATTTGTAGAATTTGAGTTGTAGAAGCACATGTGTACATTATTGGTCATGAACACCAAAAATAGTATTTTAAAAAGCAATTCTAAGAAATATATATGTGTGTGTGTGTGTGTACGTATTGTCTTCCCATTGTAGGATTACCATGAATGAAAAGGAAAATTTTATGAATGCTGAAAATCTGGGAATAGTGTTTGGACCTACTTTAATGAGACCCCCAGAAGATAGCACTCTTGCTACACTCAACGATATGCGGTACCAGAAGCTAATTGTGCAGATACTAATAGAAAACGAAGATGTTCTGTTTTAGACAAGCAAAGCTATAAATTTATAATGATCTACAGTGAAAATTAAACTCAAATAAATCCTCGTGAAAAGAATCATGAGCAATGTTTCATTTTATGTGTCTTGTAAATGTACACTAAAATATTTAGTAAAAGCTATGTTTCAACAAGTCAGAAGAACAAAAGTTTTTTTAAAATCTTCCCTTTTCATCTTTTACCTTGTTTCCAATTTGTCCCTGTGTAGAAAGGTTACAGACTTCTTCTGTTAACTTATTAAAATAAAAGAAACTTTGTATATTTGTTTAGATCATTGAAGCAAAAAAAAAATCTTATTCTGGCTCAATTTCTACTACAATCAACTCTCTCGGCCCAGCAACTTGTAAAAGTTCATATGTGTAGCAAATGTATTTTGCTAGATATTTTAGTTCTCTCTTTTTTTAGAAGCTTTGAACATAATTATACACAAATAGACCATGTCTACATACATACATTTCTATGTAGAAATATATGTAGAAACAGGGACCAATTAATGTTCACATAATATTACTTTGAAGATATGAATTAATATCTTTAGTCATTGCAATACTACAGAAGATAATGGCAAGATTGCAACAAATGGTCATCATCAGAATTTTGAACCAGAATAAATACCCAAAAAGTTTTAGTTTGTCCAAGAATTATCATCAGGATGTTCATTAGTTTTACTTCTATATGGATATACATTTTTTTCATCTAAGACATAATTATATATGTCTGAGTGAAATAAAACATGTATTTATAAATATATTTTATACTTACGTTAGCTTTAGGGATGTCTTTTTATTAAGCAAAAATATAATTCAGTGCGGTGCATTGATTATTTTCCGTATATTTTTCTTAAGCATTATTGCTATACAGTACTATATTGAAACTATTTACCACTGTTGCAGTATTATCCTGACATATTTCTTCAATTGCAAATGGTTTTTAAAAGATTTTACTTCACATCCATCTGAACATTTATTGTAGAGCTGTGGCAAATGGAATAATTTTTGTTTTAATTTTACCTCCATAAAGAAGTATATTGTAAAAAAAAAATTAAATATTATTGGCAGTACCATCAACTATGATACTTAACATTTGTTTCTTGAAATGCAGTATAGTTTTGTTTAAAATAAGTAATGCCAGATTCTTGCATATTTCTGAACTTAGTAAAAAGTTCACACTTCAATTTTTGTTACTTTTAAATGCCAGATGAGTTCAATATTTATAAAAGTAAACCTGTTTTAATTAAGCCTTTCCTCTTCATTGTATTTTGGCCAATGTGTTAATAATGGAGAATGAATGAAAGAGAAGTGATACATTATCAAATTTCATGGAAGTTTTATTCTGTCTTTCTAGACACTGACCTGTCAATATAATAAATGCAATTCATTCTAATATTATACATATTTCTCATCATAAGATTTTTGTACACATATTTAAAACACAGGTAGATAGTATAGTGTAAATCAGAATTTTCTCTAGGAAAAACTGTTAAATTGTACTCTTTATTTGTATGGATTGCAAGTTTTGAAAGCCAATTATACTGTTTTCTGAATTATTTCAGGGAGCATAGGTTTCTAAACAAATAAGTGGGTAATTTTGATAATGAAAGAAGATTAAAGATCAAACAGGGCAGGGAAACAATGTATATTAATTATCCTTTATCTAAATCAACAAGGGCTAGATAGATAGATCCAGGCTGCAGGCCAAATGACAGTGGGGTATAATTTTGCTGGTATAATAGTCCTAGAAACTCTATTAAGTTGCACAAATTTAAATGTTGTAGGCTATATACTAAATATTGCTATAAAATGGTATGGAAATGGTTTTATTTTGTGAAGTGAAATATGCTTTGTAATTTATGATACCATAGTGTAAATGGAAAAAAAATAAATTTGTTAAGTCCATTTGTCATTTTCATTGAAAAACAAAAAACATATTTTCTCCATGTCTTTTTGAGATTTCATAGCTTATGTGCAAGAGTTAATCAGTGTGACACTCATTCATGCCTCTATCATCTTACACTTGGATATTACTACAATGTATTGTGTTTGGGATGGCTTTTGAAGATTACTCAGAAGCTGAAAATACCACAAAATGCAACAACCATTGGCAGAGGAAGGCTGCTGCATATCAGTAGCATTGATGCTGAAAGTAGGATACAATTTCAAGTACTGCTTTCAACCAATAAAGCTCTTATGGTTCAGTTCGTATTGTGGGAACATCTCCTCCAGGTTGGAACTGCCCTTCCTATATGTGCAAGATGACAAAGTATGGTGAAGTTCTGGTTGTAAACTCAGACTTCTTCGTTGGCTGATTCAGCCATATGGAACATTTGATTCCCTAGATGAGGTGGGCCTCTTTTTTTCCCCCAGAAGATAGTTGGAGCAGCATGGTGGCCTAGTGGTAAAGATGCTCATCTCCCACTCAGAAGGTTGAGAGTTCAGCCCTAGGTAGCAACGAATGTTTCTCTCTTAGGACACAAAGAGAAAATATTTCCTGCAACCTCCATTTAGGCATCAGGAAGGACATCCAGCCAGTAAATTAAGACACTTCTATTCCAGTGTATTTGTGATGCAGGCAATACATCCCAATATATAATACTAGCTATGATTGATGACTGGTTTTTAATTTTGTGATTTTACTGATGAGGATTTATTTGTATTGATCATTCTGGAGGTTATGTGATTGTGGCTGCTCTGATCGATCACTGGGCATCATACACAGTTTTAGTAAAAAATATAAGTAAATAGCTCAAATTACTGAGACCTTTGTCAAATATTCTAACAGAATGATGCAATCATCTCCAATATTTCACCAGTTTCAAGTTTTCCCCCACAGGTAGTCCTCAACTTACAACAGTTCATTTGGTGACTGTTCCAAGTTGCAGTGGCACTGAAAAATTTATGATCGTTTTTCAACTTACAACTGTTGCAGCATCCCCATGGTCACATGATTAAATTCAGATGCCTGGCAACTGACTCATATTTATGATGGTTGCAGTATCCCAGGTCATGTGATCACTTTTTGTGACCGTCTGACAAGCAAAGTCAATGGGGAAGGCAGATTCATTAACAACCATGTTACTAAGGAACTGCAGTGATTCACTTAACAACTGTGGCAAGAAAGGGCAAAAAACGGAAAGAAATTCACAACTATCTCATTTAGCAACAGAAATTTTGGACTCAATTGTGATTCGAGAACTATTTGTACTTTTAAAATTCCTAATATGATGAAAGAAAAAATATCAAACTATATCTTTCTGTAGGTATTAACCAGGTAGCTGAAATCAAATATTTAGTAGCCCATCATGTTTTCCAATGCATTTCTGGATAATATTTGGTATGAAAAATATTATAAGAAATGTATTTTCTTACTCTTTCCCTTAATATATGTCTCCAGGGCTCAAAGATTTATTAATGTGCCAAAGACAAAACACAATGTATGTGTGTGATAGATGTTTCATATTGTGTTGTTATAAGTAAAATAATTTTGTTTTTTGTGATTTATATACATTATTTATAATCTATATTATAATAATATATTATGCAACAAACTAAATGCTCCAAGACTAAATATTTACCATATATTTGTCTATGACAAACTCACACCAGAATCCTTTAAACATATTTATTTGGAAATATCATTCTTTCCATATTTGTAAATTTTAAAGTTTTCAAAGTATTGCAGTCACTCACTGAAAAATTGTAAAAATGTACAATTTATATACATTATAAATATATATATATAAATAATAACTTACAATGGGTGACACTGCTTTCAAAAGCAGCAAACTCCTAGGGCACTGCTACAGATAGATTTCCACACTGACAGTCCAGGTGTGAACTGAAAAGTTTTAATTTGTGCAAATCCCAATAAATATGTATCCTCCTCTTCTGCTAACAAGATATCACATCAAAAGTGTACAGTGTGAAAATGCTCAATAATGATAAACAACCTCAAATGTGTCTTGAACTCAATACTTCTTTTTCATTTGAGGTCTATATTAACACATCTTGAACCCAACAACTATATAACTTGAAATTAAAAGTGTATTTATTCAAAAATTACAAAATATAAGAGTTATAAATAAACCTAGGTTTCCTAAAATAAAGCAAGAAAACAAAAGTAGCTAATGGAAGCATACATTCTGTGCTACTCTAATATTTTCTACCATTTCTTGCTATATTGGAAATGTCATTCCTATAGTACAGTCCTCGACTTACGACCACAATCGTGCTAAAAATTTCTGTTGCTAAGCAAGCCAGTTCATTTTTGCCCCAGTTATTGAGTGAATCATTGCAGTTGTTAAGTTAGTAACACGGTTGTTAAGTGAATCTGGCTTCCCCATTGACTTTGCTTGTCAGAAGGTCACAAGAGGTCATCACATGACCCTGGGATACTGCAACAGTCATAAATATGAACCAGATGCCAAGTATCTTTATTTTGATCAGCTTGGGGATGACCAATGGTTGTAAATGTGAAAAACAGTCATAAGTCACTTTTCAGTGCCATTGTAACTTTGAATGGTCACTAAATGAATAATTGTAAGTCGAGAACTACTTCTATTAGAGTAGGCTAATTTTACTGACAACTTCAATTTGCTGTGGAGACTGATGCAGTTATTATTTATTGTTTACCTATTGTTTAAAGGAATTAATTATAGTGAACCAATAAAATGGAGCTTGGACAAAATTATTTTTCACTTGTCCTATTGTTTAAAAGGATTAATTTACTAAAACAATAAAATGAAACTTGGATAAAATCATTTTTCACTTGTCCTGGAAGATGTAGCAGTCAGAGAGTAACAGCAAATAACTTAATATCAATTTTAGCACTCCACATCAGCTTTTCTTAACCTGATGTTCTTCAGATGTGTTCAACTCTAAGTCTTATCCAAGGAAACATTGCATGTTCCCCTTCCATAATGACATTGTGGGAGTGATGACACCATGGAAGTGATAGTTCTGCACATCTTTCAGAGCATCATTTGTATGATTATAATGGAACCAACTTCAAAAGCTGCTTCAAGAGAGTTGTCGGCAGCTGCTGCAGTCCTTGATGTAACACATTTTTACTCCAAAAATGGCCACATAGAAAGCAAGATAAAAAAAATAGTAAAATGAAGAAAATAACTCATCTATGGAGATTCTTAATCATCTGGGTCACAGTTGTCCCAAAAGTGGTTTTTTTCTTTAAAAAGGCAACTGGACTTTTTTGGTTTTTATTCTGAAAATGTTTCGCTTCTCATCCAAGAAGCTTCTTCAGTTCTGAAGAAGGAGGATGGTATTTGGGAAGTATTGCAGGCGACAAATTCATTGACATGACCAAACTCCATTGAAATCAATTTAAAGCATAAGTAAACACAAGCATAGGCAGAAGGAAGAAAAGAAGATGCAGTAATTATAATTTATCTTTTCTATTATTTTAGAATGTTAACATTGGTATTTAAGTAGGATTAAATATGTCCTTACAAATGACATTTAACCATGAGAGCAGGCTGCCCCCAAAACTGCCAGCACCTGTGCTTTTTTCCCATTTTTTCAAGGTCTCTCCTCAGCATCAGCATAGCAAAATAACTATAAAAGCTTGCTTGGAAAAAGCCGAGGGAGTATTGGAATGGCGGTAACTGTGAATAGAGTGCAGAAGAGAAACTAGAAGTAAGTAATGCGCTTTGTGTGTGTGTTATCTAGGGACCTGTGTTATTGTTGTCTGTTTTGTGTCTTAAGCCTACCAAATTGGTTATAGTTTAAAAGAACCTAGCTCATATTCTTTTTATTTTTAAAAAATTAGGTACTTTTTATAAATACATTTAGAGTTGTGTAAGAAGAGACAGATATTTAATATTAAGACAAGCCTGAAATGGTGGTAGTCTTTTAAAAGAGCATACAAGAATTTGGGGGAAGCTTGTAGCTTGTAGATTATGGAAGTGGGCAAGGGACGAGTTCAAAAGTTTTATTTTCATAAGCCACACTTATCAGTCTGAATTGGAAACATGCCAGTGGATAAACACAAAATAAGATGAATTATTTATTAGTACCTTAACTATCAATTCTACATGCACACAAAACTTAAGTCTTTGAGGCTATTATTCACAGCTCAGACACTTACATTCTATGATTGTCTTTTTTACTCCAGGTCAAAATACCCCCAACTGTACTTCTGAGATCACAAATTTGTTTCCGTGTGCTATCATCCTGTATCCAAGAAGCATCAAGCTAGATGTGTGATGCTGACTGGGATATGCTGGGCGTTGAAGTTCACATATCTTCAAACTGTTGTGAAATACTGGTCTAGAAGATCATCTCAGTGGGACATTGATTATCCCAAGAAACTTCACTTGTTCCCAAAGTCTGCCATTCCAGAGGTACAAACAGAATACATTAAAGTATCAATGTTAACATGTTAAGAAACAAACAAAATCCTAGAAGGGCTGCCTATTCCCTCTCTTCAAGTCTCTGCTTGAACGTATGTTTAATGTTCAACTATAATCTCCCTTCCAGAACGCAGAATAAAACTTTATTTCTACCCTCGCCCCAAATAGATATGAATAAAATTTAAGCAAATATTAAAATAAGTTAAAGAAATATCATCGCTATCCCTATAATGAGTCCCAGTTCCTCTTCTCTTCAATTTTTGATGCTTTCTTCAGTAATTATTCTCAGAGGCCTTCAGGTGTATTTTATTACCAATTTTGGTTATACCTGGGTTTTAATGTATCCCACTAAGACTTCTCTTCAATTTACAAGGGAGGGGAAAAGAGAAGAGAACCTATTTGTCAACTGCTGCAGCCAACATCCAATTAGATCGACAAAGATAAATTTTTGCCCTGCTCTCTTTTACAGCTATCTTTGCCAGTTATTTGAAATGTTAGAC